GTTAGAAATAAAATGTTTTCATTCAACCTCGATAGCTATTTTCCGGCATAATTCCTTAATTATTAGTAATAATGTCATGGATTATACCAGTCTTGAATCCATTACAAATAATAAATTAGTGTATGTAGTACTTACAGCACATCAGTTTGCAGATGTTCGCTAAGAGAACAACAGCATGGTATATGGCTGTTTAGAATTCGAATGAATAAAAGAAGTATGAACAATCAAATGCTAAACAAACTAGCAATTAAAATCAGAAAGAACTAACCGCAGCGCAATGTATAATTGGAATTTTTCGTTCTGAAACATCAATATTTTGTGATAGCCTTGTTCTACAACTATGGTTGTGTTTATCATCATCGTCGCCTTCATTTATATTGTTGAATGACCCATCGGAATTCTGTTCTCTACTTCCTATTTTCTTTTCACTTCCATCTGCACTATCCGATAATTCACTTCCGTCATGTGTATTTATCTTCTCCATAATCCCAGCACAGTTAGCTTCTGGCTCCAAAGCCGACCTATAATGGATATTTTCAGTTTAGTTATCCAGAATATGAATTTAAATTTCAAAATTCTAAACAAAATTTAAGGTTTTAATTCCAATCCAAAAAATGTACCAAAAAACAGCATCTATATCATTTTCGATGAACCACTTCCTCCAGGACTCCATTTGCTCTTTCGACAATAAATCAATTTTATTGATCAAGTATATACTTTGCTTCGCAATATCACATTCCTTAATATACGCTTCGAGATCCAAATTCCGAAATAGTAATGGATTACGAGCATCCAGAATCTAGAAGAAAAATGACATTGCAATACATATCTTATCCGACAAAAGTCAAGATAAATGTAGAAAGAACAAAAATCAAACTCAAAATTGAACAAAAATTTTAGAAAAATTTTAGAATGCATTCTAGAATATTCCTAGAGCACAAACTAACTTGAACAACAATATCACTCCGTTCAATGACTCGCCAAAGTTGTCTCCACAGCTCCAGATTCCTTTCAAATGGAGTTAACAATACACCATTATTCTGAAAATTTGATAGCATTATGAAACACACTCGAAATCAAGATTTAAAATGAGATATCATTATTTTTGGAAAATAAAAAAAAAAGTCCACCTCTTGTAAATCAGCAAGATTTTTACGCCATTCCAGAAAATACTCATTTTCTAATCGTATTAAATCATCCACCGTTTCACATGCTTCCTTCGGTGGTCGACGAGGAATCCGTAATCGGTCACCATATTTTTTATACAACTCATCCATTGAGTGAGCGGCATTTATGGATTTTACAACGACTTTCGAATTTTCCCTCAAAATTAAGTAAGATGAAAGAAAATGAAAGAAATTTTTCTCTTATCAGCCTGATTCTAAAATTCACTTAAGGAAACATGATTGAAAAAATAAAAAAAAATTGTAGAAATTCACACATCTTCGCAGCTGAAACTTTTTTCTTCAAATTCAGATAAGCTCTTCATATGACCAAAGTACCGACTAAAGTTGTGCTCCAAAACTTCACTGTTTTACAAAAAGAAAACTTACAAATCAAGCATACGAAATTGTTCTCTTTCGGCTGCAAAATTCGTTCCAGCAAGCTCCGCTTTGGCCAGAAATTCTTCCAGACCTGTTTCTTCGATTACGGAGTCGACATTTTGTGCCACATTCTTTAAAAATGATCATTTATAAGAAAAAGACAAGATGTGAATAAGTCGACAAAACTGTATGCTAATTTCTGTTTAATTTCGGTCAAGAGCCATTAAAAGAAGTACAATTGTTTCCATATAAAAATCTTAGAGCATGAATAACGTCACTGTTTTAAATGCAGTACACAAAAGTCCCCAAAAGTCTGTGAGCCAGTTTTTACAAAGCCAATTTGTGGATATTTTGAAAGCAATAACAAAGTACACAAGAGTAAAATGATGTCTATTTTTTTGAGCAAAAAAAAAAAGTAAAATAAAACGACCTAAGGAATATCTGCCTCAATTTATATACGGCTATGTTTATGCTGCCGGAAACTATTACTCTACTATAAGCTACCTGATATCATCCAACCCTCATCTTACATACTTTACCTGCTTGAACAACTTTGCCTTATGCTATCATTTATTCTTCAACAACTAGCAACCTCTATCCTTACTTTATCCTGATGTTATCATCATTCCACCTAATTTTTTCTTACTTAACACTACCTACTTTTCTACCCATTCCTATTTATATAACAGCAATGAATGATTAACCAATTTTTTTTTTGCATCTTCCATTTCTCTAACTCCATATAATCTCTGAACTAAAATCAAACAATAAAAAATAACACTGGTATAAGTTTAACCTTGTCAATTTCAATCATATTCTCAGTGTTATAAGCTTGTTGTCTTTTCCGACATTGTTGACGTAATTTTTCACGCTCATTTAATAAGCAATTTCCTAAAGAACGATTCAAACCCGTTGGTTTTTTGTTTTTTGGCCGGCGTTTTGTCATTTTCCCTGAAAGAGACTAGCAATAGACAAATAAGACTTAGAAGCAACAAAAAAACATTGCTAGTTGCCCATTAAGTTTATGATCGCCGTGAAATCTCAATTCGAGACTTATCTCACGACATTCATTTGTCAAGCTTGAACACTGCAAATTTAATTTAAATTGTCATTTCAATCGCAATTAGGTCACTAGTTTTGCAGAAGAAAAGAACGGATGCAAATGGTTGAATAACGTAAACTGCGAACGGATACTGAAAACCGGAAGATAAACGAGATAAAACTAACACAAGTTAGCATACTTAGACTACCATCGTCTTTCCGACATTCTTATGATAACCGGCTAACTCATTAACCTTTATGAAAACGAAGATCCCATGGTTGATATATTCATTCCTGATATAGTACTATTCCGGATCGAGTGATTTGTACTTTCTTCCAAATGTTTTCCTTCTTTTCTTCTTTTTCTCATCTTCTATTTTCTGGATGAATAATTGATAATTAAGGAATGAGATATGTTGAAAACAAAGAGTAAGGAAAATACAAAACAGATTCGTTTAAGATTTATGCTTTGTTAGCAGCTCGTCGACAAATATTATAGCAATAAAAGAAAATTAATGGAATAGTGTGGTTATTAGGTGCTGAACAACAAGAAATGGAATTAGAAATTAAATTTTGAGTTTTATATTAAATTCAATTTTCAAATATTGAACACATAAAATTTATAGCATTTCGATGTTTGCTGCAGTGAAACACTTTATAAAGTCAATTTCAATAGAAGTTGGTTAGTTAATTAATTTTTGTTTCTTATTAAAAATGATTTAAGATAAATTATAAATGATTGAAAAAGTTTGATTAGTTTAAAGAAGTCAATTTTTATCAGAATTATTATCAAAAAAAGAGGAGTTTTGTTATGATAAAGTTATAAATAAATGATGAATTTGATTGAAAAGTTTTAGTTAGTTTTAAAATTTCTTTCTTTTTTTTTTGTCAAATTTTTGAAGTAGTTTTAAAATATAAGAAAAATTTATGGAACATACATGGTAACCTACATTTGTCAAAAATATTAAAGTGATGTCATTTGTAATACTTTATTTACATATTGGGATTACTAGTGAAAAAGAATAAACAAAATAAAACAAACAAATGAAACATAGAAATGATAAATTCATAGATTCATGCATATGTATTTATATTAGTTTAGTTTGTAATTTTAATATTTGCTAAAAATATTTTTAATAATTACTTGCATTTCTTCATTTCAATTCTACAGTTTAAATCTTTAAATAATTTAGATCTAATTTAGTAGTAGTAGTAATAGTAGTGGTAGTAAATTTTATGTCAATTATATTATATTCAATTATATGTCAATTATATTCGATCCTTTTGCTTCCGTTTTGTTCTCTTTTATTATTTGTTGTTGATTGCATTGAGAATACATTTTTCATACTTTATTTTATATTTTGCTTTGAAATATTCTACTTTTTTTTTTTTCGTATTTTTAAGCTGAAATAGCAATAAATTTGAGATATTTCTAAAATTTGTAAAGTTTCAAATTATTTCCATCCTTTAAAAAAAAAGTTAGCGATAAATTTGAAGGATAAAGTTAAATGCAACTAAATATATAGTTTATTTTTTTATTTATCTCATCAATATATAATTAGCTACATTTCTCATTATAAGCTATAACTTAATTCAAGCATTATATTACAAACGTTTATTTTCATTTACATGTCACCCATATGAAATGGTAAACAAATATGTGACAAAAAAAAAAAAAAAAATTACACAAATATATTTCTCAGTAGTATATAAAATTTGAATGAAAAAGACTGAAATAAGAAAAAAAAGAAAAAGATAATATGCTAAATTTAAAATTATTTGGTAGAATTGCATTATTGAGTAAAATGAGTAAAACAAAATTTGCATATTTCATTTTTGAAAAACAGTTCCACAAATTTTTAATTTTAATTTTTATATAATATTGCTTGGAAATTTTTTCTTTTTATGGATGTGAAGAGAAAATGGCAGCGAATGCGATGAAAATACTAAATGTCAAACATTAACTCTATTTGTTACCGTTTATTCAGCAAACGATTGTAAGTAATTCACTGTACTCTACGATGTCACTTTTTTGTGACACTAAAATTTATTAATTTTGATATGAATATGCAAACTAATTTGAAATACTGAAATAAATTGAACAAGAATTGATACAATATTTAAATGAAAATTTGTTATTCATTAGACAGTGATACGATGTTTGATAGAGTAATCAGCAAAACTTAATTGTAATTTCGAATTTGTTTAAAGTAAAAGATTATCCATGGTATTTTAATATAACCAAATGCTATGGCAGTTTCATTTAATTGATAAATGACTTTTATAAAATTAATCAAATTAAAATTATTTAAAAAATTGATTATTATTTAAATTATTTAGAAACAAGAATGAAAACAAATAGATTTAATGAGTAATATAATTAATTCGTAATGATGAGGTAACAATTGATCTTCGTTATTGATGATTGTATCGTTGATCGAAATGAAAGCATTGTAAACCACAACAGAAACTCTTTCGTTTGTTTCGTCCTTTACTTGTTCGTACTCTCAAATAGAAAAACAAAAAAAGTGAATTAATATTTTTTAATTAATTTTTTTATTCTTTTCTAATTAATTTTATTAATCATTCAAATTTTTAAATAATAACAAAGAGATTTTTTCCAAAAATTGTACAACAAATGTTTGTAACGCTTATTTATTAATGAATACAAAAATAAATTACAGTGGTTTTTTTTTTTTTTTTTTTTAAAAAAAAAAAAATAACTGTTAGAATATGAAAGTTAAAATTGAGAATTTTGTTGACATTAAATAATACCAAAGAATTTTCTGATACAATTGAATAAATTTTTCAAAAGTTATTACTGTTCTGTTCGTTGCATTTTCATCGTTGCTCGCCTTTCTTCGAAATAATTAGTATTTTGTTCTTCCTCGTTTTGAAGCCAATTATTCTTATTAAGTTCCCTGAAAAAAAAAAAAAAAAAAAAAAATTGAATGTCATTTATTTAATTCATTGCAAAAATTTTTCAATTACTTTTGATCATTCATCAAAAAATATTATTTAAAAAAAAAAAAAATAGCTAAAATATTGTACCTGGTTCGAATATCAGCTCGAAAAGACATTGTCATCTCTTCAATCATATAATCTAATAGCATACCCCATAAACTAATCAAATAATCAATACTGGATTCTGTTGAATCTAACATGCCAAATAATTTTCGTGTCCTATCAAAAAAAAAAATTGAATTATTTGATACAATTTCCAGTTCAACTATTTTATATTTGATATGAAATTGTCATTTTGAAATTTATTTCTTTTGAATAATAATGAAATTTAATTTTTTTTTTTGCTTTTTTCTGGAACAAATATTAGTGAAAGACTTGTTCAGATGTATGCAATATTTATAATTTTATAAAACAAATCTTAAAATTTAATGACTAATTATTAATAATTACTAATTAATTTAGATAATGAAACAGATAATTCAAAATTGGCTGAATATTTGATATGATTTAATTTAGACATCAAATCAATCTGTCATAATTTATGATTGGTGACAAAATGCTGCTTTCAAAACATGACAAATGCTTAAGCATATTGTCGAGAATGGATCATTATCATCTCAAATGATTCCCATAGACTGGCAAAAAGTCTAAACAAATTTGACAACAGGTAAACAAGTAGTGCAATTTGTTGCACAAAAGAATCGGACGACACTTTTACTGATAGCAAATGAGATAAAAAGACAGCAAAATCGAGAAAGAACCAACTTCACTATAATACTACTACTCTTTTCCAAAGTTCGTCTAAAATGATACAATGTGCATTCACGGAAAACTGTCCAGTATTCCGGTTTGAAATTCAGTCTCTCCTGAATGAATGAATAGAAATAGTTTGGAGTTGATTAATAAATAAGTGAAGAATTTTACATACTTAAATTTTTGCATTTATTTTTTATTGCTAAAATTTTCTATCATCTTTTTTTTTTTTTTTCTATTCTCAATCATTTCAATTTCTTTCAAGTTTTTGAATTTAACTTATAAATTTGAACAACTGAGTGAACGATAATGGAAAATGATTGAAGAAGAAATAAGTCATAATAAGAAATGACTTTAGATAGTTAATTAATCAAGTAAGTAATCAGAAAATATTACTTTTACTTTTTTGAACAAAAAAAAAAAAAAAAAATAAGCTAATAACCTTTAATCTTCCGTGTACATGGCCAAGATTAGTTAATAGAGGATCGATTTTATTTAGAGTTTCGATGGAATTAATAACACTTTCTATTGCCTAAAAGTTAAATTAATGAGTGGTATTGATTAGCTCTGATAATAATAAATTATTATTCAAATAGATTAACATTTCAAGGATAATTTTTAATTTTAAATATTGTTTAATTTTTCTCTCTTGCAATCATCTCTCAATTGACAATCAAATTATTGATAAATCAAATTTAGCATGGAATATTGATGAAATAAATTTTAAAGTTGCACTTAAATACTTTAATTTTACACTGAGATTCTCAATTTATTAAATAAATCCTTATCCATTGATTACAATTCCTAATTACACCTATGATTTTACACATCCAATAAAAATAAATGAGATTAAGTGACATTTTCAATTTGCTATATAGTAAAGGCTATTAAAAATAAAATTATTAAACATTAGCATTATATATTTATATTCACATAAATTTCATTTCACTTGCATAAAAGGAAAAAAAAAAACAATTTTTGCCTTTAATTTTGCAAAATTTTATTTTTTTATTCTTTCGTTCTTCAAAATTTGAAATAATTTGAGCTAAAAAAAAAAAAAATTTATCAGTTGTACAATCTACCGTTAATTAAATTGTTATAAAATTTGAAAATTTCTTAGTTTCATACCTGCATGAATCGTAAGGAATGAAATCTGATCGAATCACTATCTCTTTTTGAAATATCTGTGAACGGAAATAACTGAAAAAAAAAAAAAAAGAAAAAAAATTATTAACATTAAAAATTTAAAATGAGTCAATCTGATCAAATCTTATCACATATCAATCAGTTAGAAATTTTATCATTCAAATTAATCAATGAGTTTTTAGTATGCGAAAATGCAATGAAATTAATTTTAATTGCAAATTGAAATTTAGAAAAAAAAAAATTATAAATTATGAATAAAAAATTTTTAATTCATACAAATTTTGCTTCAGGACATTGCTCAAATATCATTGCAAAAATATTGACACCAATTTTTTGAATATTTCGATTTATGATCGACCAGGATTCTCGCAATAAAATCATATCATCCTTATGAATATTTTTCAATCCTGCACTTATATCTGAGGAATGCATTTTGTAACTAAAATACATAATCAATCAGGCAATAACCGGAACACGTAGATGCGTACACGTTTGTCAATATCAGAATGCTAGAACACGTAGATGCATACACGTTTGTCAATATCAGAATGCTAGAACACGTAGATGCATACACGTTTGTCAATATCAGAATGCTAGAACACGTAGATGCATACACGTTTATCATTATTGTAAAAATAGTGATAAACGTCGATGCTTGGTGTATACCAAACTTTGATAAATTTTAAAAAAGAAAGAAAAAATTTATCGAAGTTAAATTTCGATGCTGTTCTCTTATTTACAAATTTAGATTTAAGTTTTAATTTATTATAATATCTTTGCTTTGTTTTTTTTTTTTTTTTTTTTTTTTTTTTTTTGCAATAAATAAAAGTTTTTGTTGTAATTTTGGCTATCCAATAATTATTTGGCAGTTAAATAAAGATGATAAGAATATTGTTAAAGCTGTTAATGACAATTATAAGTTATTTTCTTGAAGTGATTAATAGTATAATAAAGTAAATTACATTTTAAATTTATTTTAAATGATCAATGTTGAATATAAAATCTTATCGTATTTTTAATAATTCACTTTGTTACCACTTTTTTCTTTCTTTTTTTTTTTTCAACAATTTGAGAGACTTAATTAATAGCCAATTGCTATCAATTGAGATGCAAAACAAAAATTTTTCATTGTTAATTTGATTCTTCTATAAATGCTCTGAAAATTTGTTATTTCCACTAAAATTTGATTTCAATAAAACGAATAAATGTGTCAGATAAAGTTATATGTGACATATATAATAAACTTTTTATGCATATTTCTAGATGTATGCTAATGAAATGTGAAATAAAATTGATATTTCTAAATTAAATTTAATGAGTGATGAAGCGCATTTATATCTACTTTGTATGTATGCATGCGTTGGTGCTAACTGCGCTTAATGAAATATTTCTTCGAGAAAATTTAATGAAAGCAATACGCTAACTTAATAGATTATGGCATAATATTAGAGAAAGAATATGATTATAAAATAAATTGGCTTCAAAAGTTACCAGTAATATTAGCTGCATTAGAATAAATTTATTACCTAATCGGTTAATTAATTACTGAATTAACAAAAGACTAGATTGAGTAAGCGATTGTTTTTGTCGATAATTTTGTAAACAGAATTTGGATTGTAAATATTGGTTGCAAATTAACTTTTTATTTTCTTTTATAAAAAAAGAAAATAAATTTTTCTTTTAAAAAAAAAAAAAATAGGGAGGAAAAAGAAAATGCTGAGAGAGAGAGAGAGAGGGAGTACAAACAATGCAAACAGAGAGAAGAAAAGAGATCAAAATAAGTAAGTTTGTAAGTAAGGCAAGAATTAACTATGCGAATATTCAAGATATCTCGGAAATGAACAAGATAGTAAATTAAATATAATAAGTTGTTTAGGAGTGCATATGAAAAAATATTTGAGCATTGTTTAGAGGAAACAGTTTAGAAGAAATCCATAAATTTGTTTATAAAATCGAGACAATGTTAATCTCCTCATAATCTTCTCAAAATTATAATCTTCTCGCAAGATGCACAGACAATAATACTTCAAAATTTAATTTATGCATTTAACCTGGGTGATAAGTTATAGGTAAAAAGAAGTATATAAAATAAAATGGAATCTCTCAAATGCATCGTTATTAATTCTTACAATTAATTTAACCAATATACTTAAATTAAACACTTTTATTTTTTCAATTTCATTTAAATTTCAAAAATTATATAAAATATTCGCAGTTGTTCTAAATTTTTAATTATTTTTAGCAAGGAATATTACTGGAATGGAATGAATGAATGATGATTTTAGCAATATTTACTATTTATTTTTGGATTAAAAAATCGATTAATTATTTAAAGATTTGTAGACTTTAAAAGTAATGAATGTTATGTAACAAATAAATATAGATATATGTCTTTGTAATTAACCATATTATTTGTTTCTAAGTAAGGGTAACAGAAGAATTCCGGAACAGTGTTCCGGATGTCGAAGCAAACGATCATATATGATATATATAAAAACAAACAAAAATGTTACACTGAAATGAGTAATTTTAATAATCCGATTGAGAATAACCTAAAGTTATAAATAAAATAAGGCAAAGGTAAGTGATAAGATTTGAAATTAAAAATTGTATAACAAAATATGATAAGTAGTAATAAATTATTATTAAAATAAGATAGAAAAAGAAAAAAAAAAAAGTAATTAGCTTCAAGAAATTCTATGAACATTCATTCAATCATCGATAAGAGCAAATACTCAGTAACTTTCACTGAAAATAATAGTCCAAAAATAGAAAAATTGCTCTTTGCTGAATGAATTTTCAAATCTAAACCAATAAATCATCATTTAACTTCTTGTTTTTCACCCTTTTACTTTTGCTAAACAGAATAATTTGAGCAAATAATGGACAAAAATCGAATTTTCATTAAATTTTAATTTTAGAGTAATTCCGATGAATGCGATAAAAATGCATTGCGAAAAATTTTCATTGATAGCAGTTTCGTCGTCTATCTTCACAGAAATAACAATTTTTCAATTTTTTTTTAATTTCTTGATTTTGAATTTTAGTAAGATAGAAATTATCGAAGTTAATTAATTAACTATTATAAGGTATTATTCCAACAATAGTATTAATATCTACATGTTAAATATGATCTTTGTTTTATGATCTGATCAAAATCTTGATCAATTATCATCCGTATCAAATTGTCTCTCTTCCTTTCTGATTCAATTTTTTTCCAACTTTTTTTTTTTTTTTTTTCTTAGCATACTTCGACGGTGTCCTTCATCTTTTAGCATTCTTATAATTTGAAGAAGAGTAATTAAAATCTCGAATTGGATATTTTCAAGACTCTTCCTATTCCCCACAATAACATCCACTGCTATCTGTGGGAAAAAGTTAATCTTGAAATAATATGCGAGGTATAATCCAACAATTCATTTGTTAAAATAACAAATCAAATTTTTATCACTTATTTTAAATATAATTAATGATTTAGAAAAAAAAAATGTCCCAAATAGTTGACAAAAAAAAAAAAAAATGCAAATAAAGCCAAACGGAAAGCATTGAATGCTTTTAATGCTTTAATTGCTAAACTAAAATATTAATAAGTTATGTCATAGCCAAGATGCAGTATAATTTTGCTATCTTCCTAACTATTAGCAAATGAAATGAAATGAAATATTTCATTAGTTCAATTATTTAGGCTTCCATTTTTGTTTCCACTACTCTTTGAGGACTTTTTCACTCAAACATTCATTATTTTTGTGTAAATAATTTAAAAAAAAAAAAAAAAAAAAAAGAAAGAAAGAAAGAAAAGGAATTGCAACGAATTATTTTTGCAATCTTTTAAAAATGGAATTTTGACTATTAAAAGAAGTGTTGAAGTAATTGTTCTCTTAGAAATAACATTATATTAAATTTTGAACTATTGAGGAGAGAAAAATTGAGATAATATTAGTAATATTTCTATCAACAAACAGTGATGGTATAAATGAGGAAAGAGAGAGAGAGAGAGAGAGGGAGGGAGAGGGAGAGATTCATTGAGTTCCATAGATGAAGAGATTATAATAATTAGTAAAAGTTGAACTAACCCACCGATTTAACCCCTATTTTATCAGTGAAATATTATTATTACTTAATAAATTATAAATGATACTTGTTATACCAGTACTTGTTCACCTTTCTTTTTTTTTTAAATTTAAAAACATTTTTTGATGGAAAAGTGTGTGTTATCAGACAATTGAAATAATAAAATAATGAAAATAAGATTATAAAAAAAAATTGTTTACGTAAATAAAAGATCACTTTGTAATTTTATGTTACTGAATTAAAAGTCGATAGTATAAAGTCTAAATAAAGCCGAAAAGCAAAAACAAGCCAATTATAGAAAGTGCATTTAATATGTAAAAAAATATTATTCGAAATCTTTTCTTTTTTTTTTTTCATTTTGTTACCCAACTACAACTTGTCAACTTGTCAACTAAATATCTGCCTAATAATGTTAAAGTGTAAACAAATCTCTTACGGATAATATTAAATACATCGGAAAATCTAAAGTTGTGATGGAAATTAGTTCAATGAAGCATGTGTAATTGAAATATTGGAAAATTACTTTTTTTTTTTTTTGCGCTAATAAAATAGCAAAGTGAAACGATAATTAATACATCAAATATGTAATATTTATGCTATAGCACTAACAGCAAGAAATATTAAATACTAATTACTTGACATACATATATGCATACGGATATTTATTTATTTGTTTGTTTGTTTATTTGTTCATTTGTTTACTCATTCAGTTATTAATTTCTTAGTGAGAAAAGCTGAAACATAACAAGTTGACATGTTAAGTTGACATGGAGTTATGAAAAATCAAAAGAAAAAGAAATGATCAATCAATTATATAATATAATGTGAAAAAGATTTTGATTTGACTAATAATTTTGAGAATATGAATGGTATAAGAAGAAAAACGAAATAAATAAATAAACTTTTTTCTTATAAAATATACATATTTCATTTCATTCATAATTTAGGAATTGTTATCTAACTTAAAAAAAGAATTAAGTGTTTATATTTTCAATAAACTAATGTCGGAAATTAATATTTTAAAAATGTAATCAACCGAAGAAGTTGATAAATTAGCATAAATGATATATACACTTTTTGTTTTTTTACACATTATTCATAATAACTTCTCGTGAATATTTCTCGAGAAAATTAGTTCATAATATATGATCGATTACTAAGTTCATTTTGGCTATATTATTTATTTGAGGAGAAAAATATGGACAAAACAAAAACTCAAATTCTAAGTGAAAATAATTACAAGAATGTTAGAAGATTGGCACATTTTTAACATATTATACTTCATAATATTAATCTACTGCAATTACAGCTGGAATATTATAATAATAATCGATCGTTTTGTTTCTCCATCATTCGCTTGA